AATACCGGTCACGCCAAACCTTGGAGGAAGAACAAAGGCGACGGCAAGGGCAAGTCCCAGCAACATCAGCAACATCAGCAGAAGAAGTCTCAGCCCGGTCCTCATCAGACCTCTCAGCAAGCACCAGCTCCCAGGGCGACCACCCCCGGTCCTCAGGGATCATCCTCTTCATCTGCGCCGGCCAAGCAGCAGGCGGCCCGCAGACCAACTGACGCATCCACGATCCCGACGCTGAAATCGGACGAGTTCCCCGCCTTGGCATCTACTTCTTCTGCTACCCCGGCCTCGTCCGGTGCCCCTCCTACTACCACTACTGTGCAAGAGGCTCGACCCCCGGTCAACAACCCGTGGATCAAAGTCGGCGGATCGCGTATCAAGAGTGGTGGTGGTGGTTCGTCGAAAGACAACAAGAACCGGGAGACCAAAAATGAACAGAAGACTGATCCCGCTGCTGCTGGTGACAAGGTCACTGCCAAGGTCGGCAGCGGTAGCAAGTCGGATGAGACGGAGAGGAAGGGTGGTTAAGAGGAGGCGGAACCGCGAATCACCCACTGTCACATGAGTGACTATGGCAACCTTTCTTGCGCCACTTGGTCCCAGAGATCTCATGGAACTCTCTACGGCTACTTATTCTCCTCTCTCTCTCTCTGTGTGTGTGTTTCTCTCACCAGAATCATATGAGAGCAGAGAATTGATCGATTATATACCTAGGTATACACCAAATCGTGAGGTAGAGGCTGCCTCGATAAGGGGCATCTACCTACCTCAGGTACCCTTTCGGAACATCACACAGCACGTTTCGGAATATACATCGCACAGCCATTGATGCTGTGCTGCCAGAGTAGAAATAGGAGATACGACATCCCTTTCTGGATCTCTCCCTCACTCACGTCTGGATTTCTTCCAGTTGGAGAGAAGACAGACCGTCAGATTCCCCTCCCCCCCCTCTCTCCTTTGGACGTTCGGGTTTGCAACGCTGAATGCACGTACTCTTTGCCTTGCCATGGAAATTCGACGTATCTGAGCGGAGGAGGGAAAGAAGGTAATGGATATGGTCATTGGTGGTTTGAAGAAGGAGAGGAGAGCTGGAATTGGTTGAGATACCCCTGTTGCGTGACTTGGAACTCTGGATGATTGATTGATTGATTGATGGCAGCAGACCTTTTTTCATCTGTTTGGTTGGTTGGTTTGCTGGATGGAGGAATTTTTTTTACGAGTACGGAAGGGAGAAAGAAAGATGATGAAAGCTTTTCTTCCCCCCGGATGAAGGATTAAGAGAGAGAGAGATAGAGTAATGTCATTGTCGGATTAGAGAGCAGATTACTTATATTTGGCTCATCAGTCAGTACCTGAAGTCGCCAGATCAACCCATACAGAACCTAAAAGTTGCCAGAAACAATCTTGGTTGGTGTTCCGTCTGGATTTCGTAATATTGCTCACTCATTCCCCTCTCACTTGGATTCATAGTGCTTCGAAAACGGGTTTTCCCTATATTCGAAGCGTCTAGGGGTTGTAGTCTAGACGTAGCGAGGGGCTTTGGTACTCCTATTTGCTTCGCGCAGGCTATGATGATAGCAACGAATGCCTTGGACGCCGTCATTCTGCTGCAAGGTAATGTATGTATGTACACGAGACCATATTCTCAGTCGATTTGCTCAAGTTCGACCAGGCAGTCTAGCCGCGGCCTCTTCTTCTACAACTCCTCAGATCCCTGGTTCTCAGAGCATTCTGGAGCTTGGGATGGGTGAGCTCGGTGTGTTATCATGCGTCGTTCTTAACCAACGTCGTGACGGCCTCCTCGATCTGCTTATCTGACAATCCTATACATAAGGGAAGTCTCGTCAGCGTCCTGTTCTGCCTCATAACACTCATGTCCTCCGCCGGTATTTATTAGGCGTTGTGGTCAAGCAGTAATTGGAGTTTAAAGAGAAAAAGAAGGGGAGGGAGGGAGGTTATGATCGGGAATTCGACGTATTGACATGACGTACCTTCTAGCGATTGGCTCTTCTCCTTTCCGAACTCTGTCCTTTCTATCAGCACGCCCAGTTCCTCAGGTTATTATGGATAGGGCAGGAAGACGGACCGTATCTGGCGTAGATCTTGGGCAATGTGCCGGAAGCTTCGCGGATCATGATGGGTGTGTGGGGGTTGTTCTTCTTCATCGTCGGGTATGCTCTGGTTAGGAAGGTTCTGTAGATGGTCCCGGAACCTGCGTCAGCTTCCCAGATTTTGAAAATGGATATTTATTCACGTCGACATATAACCAATGACATCTGAAGCTTGGGTATTCCAGAATCGAGCTCTGGTGTCGTGTCGGTCTATCGCTGGGTGGTGTATGGTAGAAAGGCCTCACCTCGCGGCAGCGCTGGCTTCGGCTGTGTGGCAAAAGAGGAAGCGGACCTCCTTCAGGGTCTTCGTGAAGGCGTATTTACTCGACATGTTGGCAATGGGCACTCGGCGGTCGAGATTGGGGGGAGGGAGATCAATTGGGCGGTAATTTGGGATTGAGAAGAGCGACGTTCGTAGGTATGTCGCTGGCTGGCTGTCTGTCTGTCCGAGGCACTGAGTGCTGAGAGCTCTAAAGCTGGTTCAAGTCGCAAGGTATTGACCAATAGGAGCAGCAGGCTGAGACTGATAATCGCTTTGTTGCAAATATGCCGGCTAAGCTGCATATAGCTCAGATTCATACTGATAAAGACATAAACGTCGTTACTTCCAATTATCCAGTATAGTACCTAGGTTATTACTTAGGTACTTCGTAGTCACGTCACACTCACAGGAGCTTCTCCCCAAAGAAAGCCCGGCTGCTTTTTACCTTCCCGATTATCTCCGGCCTGCCCCAACTAAAAACGCCCAACCTGAGAGCTTCTCACCTAATATTTTTCGGTCTCCGGAGTCGCCCACTGTATTCTACCTCCTCAACCGACGACACCGGCTCGACTCGACCTCGACCTATCCCTACAAGAGACCAATCTCCCCTCCATACCTCGGCCGAGAGTGAGAATACATACCTGAAAACAATGCCGGCGACAACCACCCTCTTCCGCGCCGCCCGGCCCGTCTTCCAGTCGCGTGCCACCTTCCCGCGCGCATCCGCTTTCCGTTCGAATTTCTCCCAGAATGCCGGACGACGATGGCAGAGCACCGCCTCGGGCGAGACCGCAGAGCAGAGTTGGTTCACGCGCATGTGGAACAGCCCCGTCGGTGTCAAGACCGTACATTTCTGGTATGTAGAAGACCTACGGATATCGGTTGGGGAGAGGGGCACATCTGTCCTATATTCAGCCCCGGTCTTCCAGTCTTGTTCCATTCTCCTATCCCAAGTAGCCGCATGCGCCTGCGACTCTCCCTCGGGTGCTGCCCTGTCATGGTACCAATCAGGAGCCAAACAAGATCAAGGCTAACTCGAAATGTTATATATAAAAATAACAGGGCGCCTGTAATGAAATGGGCCATTGTCATAGCCGGCATCAGTGATTTCGCCCGTCCGGCCGAGAAACTCTCGGCTACCCAGAACGGCGCCCTGACAGCCACCGGTCTGATCTGGACCCGTTGGTGCTTCATCATCAAGCCCCGCAACGTCCTCCTCGCTACCGTCAACTTCTTCCTCGCCTGTGTCGGTATCGCACAGCTGACCCGTATCGCTATGTATCACCAGTCCCAGAAGAACAAGTCTCTAGAGGAGAAGGCCAAGGACGACCTGAAGGAGGGCGCCGAGAAGGTCAAGGAGGCTGTCAAGGCATAGATAGACTGTGAGGAGGGCTTTCACCACGGGATTACGGTCCGCAGTTGAGATCTCACGGGGTTACGTGAATTGGAGGCGGGTCTGCATTGCACGCACAGTCAGTCAATCGGTCGGTCACTAGTAAAGAGATACGGTACTTCGTATACCCGGCAATATCCTACCGGAAAAGATACTACGAGTGCCTCACAAGAGGCAGCTTTGACGGGGACAAGGGGAGGTCGTCTGAACCTCGGCATACATGGGGGAGAGGGGCATATAGAAGGGGAATGGAAAGGGCTTCTTATGTACACTACCGGCATCAACAGGTGTCCTGCTCTAAATCCATGCGTACATTCGTAACAGTCCATACGTGACAGTCGTGGAATGGCGCAAGTTGTTTTCGATTAGCCCGGCGACCTGGTGATCCTGCGTTTTCGGCTTTACCCCTTTCCCTGGGCCCCTGTACCGACTGCGAATCTATTCTCCAAACATGATTAAGACAACGACCAATAAGTAGGTGACGCTACTTTGGAGCACCATGCATGCCCCTTTCCAGTGAGTAAATTCCAGACCCTCGGCCTTGTGCGCGAACTGCTCAGCTCGGCGTGATGAGTAGTAGTAGCTAGCCCCTTTGCTCTCGCTCTCTTCCACGATGCAGTCAGTCAGTCAGTCCTCTTCTGGGTTCTCTGGCTGGTTGGTATTCATTCAATATGACAATTATGACACAAATCTATACCTGTCTTACTTAGTACGTTGGTTACGTAGTCTCATTACACCACCACATCGTTTCGAATCATCAACGACCAACGTCAGGTTAATTAATCACTTCTTTCTACCACTGAAAGCCTGCTCCCTCGGACTGCGTTCCATTTGCTCGTAGCTGGGGTATGTATCTATCTATCTGGAGATCTTGCGAGAAAGAGTAAGTTGCTTGACTGGGCACATACATAACATAACATAGATTTATGTAGATACCTGAAGTATGTACTAGTAGGTAACTTGAGAACATCGGAAGATGTGTAAGTGTAAGTGTTTTGGAAGAAGGTTGGCAGAAGAGCAACGTCTACTACAACCACAGACTTGCTAGCTACTTTTTACAGAGCGTTCCTCGCTAAAACAATCCGCTGGCGTAGCGTTGTAGCGCCGTAGCGCCCTAATGCCGTAACGCTTCTGGGTAGTATGCATATGCAGCCTGTCCTGCGTTTAGGGTAGTATATAACCCATTATTTCAACAAAACTTGTCAGTCAGCAAGTTCCGGCTTGTTTAACGAACACAGTTCCGTTAGCTCAGTGGTAGAGCGGCAGATTGCAGTTATGAGTTGATCCCTGATTAATTCATCATATTCAGCTATCTGATGGTCGATCGTTCGATCCGGTCACGGAACTCTGTCATCGTTTTTTTGTTGATTCACCTACAAATATCTACTAGATGCCTCCTCCCGACTCTATTTAACTCGAAAATTTTTTTTCCCCTAGGTCAAGTTTTTCCTATCGTTGCTCCCGGTCGTGCCCTCTTCTTCTACCCGCATTTCTATTTGGAAAGCAACGCACGCTTCTTTTCTGCACTCCCTGGAAATGTTCGACATAGGGAGGGAGATATCTTCTGTCAAGGCATGTCTACCCACTATCTACCTAGGTACACTGTATGTCGAAGAATACCTAGCTAGGTACGCTTGCCATTAACCGATATCATCAAGTTTGGTAGTCGGTATCGGGCTAGGTAGGACAGACAGACAAGCGTCCAAGCTTGCGAGCGCATGTGCATCACCACCAACGTGGGTATATCCTTGGTCTTTGGCAACTCCATGAGAGCCTGACTTTGGAAGCTTCAAGTCGAAAGTAGAGAGAACTTGATCCCCAAGCAAGCCACTGAACATGGAAACCCGAAAGAACTCCTCGGGTCCAGGTGCTCTCTCCCAGGTGTCAGATGAGAGACCCAAGGCAATTGTAATTTTCGGGTCTCGACATGTAGAAGAAGGGCCTCTCAGATTGATCGCGAACGCCAACCTCTCTCCTCTCGGCTAACATACCGAACGAACTGTGTGCGAAACCGTTTGGAGATGGAACCACAGGACTCTGCGCGGCCTAGGGAAAGCCGGCTTGGGCGACGGGAACCAGCAAAAAGTGCGCAAGGGCAGCCTTGATAAAGAGACACAGGCAGCCGGGCTCGCTTACCGTGTGTGTAAGTAACTACACGGCATTGACTGGCCACCATTTTACCATCTCATCTCATGTCAATAACAAGTCATGCCATCGTCGTATCGGGCAGGCGCCGTCCAGAAAAAACGCTCCTCACCCCTGAAATGCCACATATCACACCAAAACCTATGATATTTAACTCATAATATTAAACATAATAACAACTTTAAAAACAGAAAAAAAAATATAGAAATAAAATTTAAATATTAAAGATTATAAAGATATTATATTTGTAATTTTGCGATTTTTATAAGGTAAGATATAGCAATAATAATCTGGAGAAGAAAATACCACCAGAATTTTGGTGTTGTGGCTTTATCTAGAGGCGTGGTTATTGGGTACAGCGCCTGTCGGGTATCTCCATCTGTACCGAGAGTGCTCATCGCTCAGCTGTCACGACGATCCTTACCGCATGAGCGGCGACTCGGTAGGTATCATGCTGAAAAGCTGGGTCTCACTTTCATCTGTAACTGCAGGTAGACTCTGACTGATGTTGTTCCCAAGTAGCGTTTCGCGTCTTCGTCCGTGTCTCTTTTTTTTCTGGGCGTAATAATAAGTGTAGTCCAAGACTGACTGCCAATACTACCAGACACACTGGTGTGATGATGGAGCGACGATGACGGGTCCGTCCGCTCGGGGCGTTGAGATCTGCGACATGCGACGCTTTACGTCGTAGTCATCTCGTCTGATATGGGGTTTCACCTCCCGCTTGTCCGCTATGGCGGCTCCGCATCGCACGGCGATCTCAGGGGCGGCCTGTTGACAATTGTATGATGGTCGTCTGAACCATCGGAGGATCGTGGTGGGTGGTTGGTTATGCTTGACGTTCGGCATATATAAAAGAGAGAAGAACCTCACCATTCGTTCTTCTTCTCATCCATCATCATCGACCATCCCAACCTCACTCACCTCACAGTATATCATTCTCTCCAACGGCCCGGCGTCGTCATTCGTTTCTTGTGACTACATTCTTTAATTAAAAAAAAAAAGTTGAACTTTTATTACTTTCCCTCCTCTCAACCACCACCACTCATTCAAAATGGTTCGCCTCAGTATTGCCGCTGCTCTGACCTGTAAGGCCCCCCCCCCCCTCTCTCTCTCTCTATCCTTCTCAGGTGTCAAGTAACCACACAACCACAAAAACACGAAACACTAACACGTATCCGACAGTCGCGGTCGCTGCCCTCGCTCTCACCCCTAACGCGGCCGGAGCCCGCGACGTCGGAAACGGCCAAGGGGCCCAGTTCACCACCGGCGGGTGTGTCAGCGATGCCGACTGCCAGGAGGGCTGCTGTGCCGGCGGCGCCGAGGACGAGGAGGGCAACGAGGTCGGCATCTGCTCCGGCATCGGCGCCGAGTTCCAGAACGGCAAGACCGGCTGCGGCTTCGAGGACCCCAACGCCGACCAGACCATCGCCAACGCCGAGCAGATCGTGGAGGAGCAGGGTTTCTAGACTAGAACTTGCTAGACTAGCAGCATTCGGGGGGCTGGAGAGTGAGTGAAGGTTGTGGATGTTTGACACAAAGAACTGCTCGGCTCATCAAGAGAGTTTGTTCTGTAAAACTAGATCTTTACGACAAAATAATGAGAATCATGCCCATATATATATATATATCACTCACATCCTCATGTCTGCTCGTATGCCGCCGGTACCCTTTGAGCCTTACGATCGTGAAGCTCCATTGAGGAACCCATGTGTACGTACATACGTACACATTCAGTGGGTACATGCACGCATTAAACAGCACGGTATACTGTTTGTTATATGCGAAAGTGATTCTCACCTTTACACGAGGATCCTGCGAGTGGGGGGGGGGACTCTATCTATCTAGTTCTTGCTAAACTTGCCTGATGTTTCGAAACATCATCCCTTCCGGTCAGTTTTGGTCTCTCGAAAGGGGTAGTAGAGTGTAAGGAGTTGAAGATCATTAGATAGTCCCCCAGATGGATGGTGGGCAACCTTGTCGGGCTGTGGGAGGACTATCCAGATATTCGGGGTACTTGCGAGTTTACATAAGGAGTAATTTATATATAATATGCATGGGTATAAATTCGTCCCCCATGATTTCTTCGTTCTTAGCAGCGCATGTGGGAAATTCTTCAAACTTGAACTCGGTAGCCATCCGCATCAACAATCGGGCTAACCCATCGACTCAATCCTTAAGAATATGACCTATGCGCCATGAATCGAGCCCTGACGACACACGAAACGTATGTATATGGCCACTGGTCGAGCGAGACGCTATAATTAATTGTATGATCACATAGTTCTTGAGGACACGGCGAACGAGCCCCTTTAAGCCGGACTGACTAACCACCTGGACATGCCCTCCTCATCGGTCTGTGTCAGACCCGATAGTGTGAGCCAGCAATAGGAATGGATGGAATCGGACTTCCTGAAAGAGGCCCATCCATACCTGGCCAGCCAGGGGGATCAGTTGATGAGCTTGAAGCTTTTCAGTTGAAAGCATTTGGTCCTCCCCACCCACGATCTCGAGAAGCTCTCCACGTTCCAATTGAAGCGACATGAATCCCTCGCTCGGCAATCAATCTAGTTTCATTTGCGTATGTATGTTTGTCTGGTGGATCTCGCTGGCGATAATACTACTCCTTGATTTGCCCCTTTCCAGATGCTTCGGACCGTGGTGGTTCATATCGAGAATTATCAGCCATTCCTCCTCGATGCCAACGAGATACTCATTCAACGAGGGCAATCTCTGTAATACGAAGGTTTAGTTCTCATCCAGAATCACTGTATAATCAGCCTGGGAACACTTGCATCGCCTGGGCTGACAAGAGGGTCCGTACGCAGCGAGAGGTATTATCAGTTTCCCCCCCGAAGGGAATCAAGTGCAACACTCTCGCAGGCGATCACCACTATTCAAAGCGATTCAACACCTGGGAAAGGACGCGTACACAATAAAAATACCACAAGGCGACGTGGGAATTGTGCCATAAACTCAATCAAGCATGCAAGATGCTGACACAATGAAGCGACTGAAGGTATCCTACCACCAACACGGAGTACCTAGTAGACCACGCGGTGATTATCATCACTCCCCGATTCAAAGGGACGATAGAGAGCGCAGCCATACTTCACCGTCTCTTAGTCAAGCATCTCCGGGCGCGCAAATAGTAGGATGCCCGCCGGTCAGTATCTATGTTTACAATAAGACAATTCTATCCCATGTAGGTGGGTGAGACAGTGGCTCAGGAAAAAAAAAAGGGGGGGGGAGGGTTGGCAGCCTGTTTATCTGGTTGGTCTAACAAAGACAACCAAAAGGCATCGCATCAAATCAAACATTGCAATCTCGGCGTGCATGACCACTATGAAAATCAGGAAAACAAAGAAATACAGGTAAATCCAGCAATTCAAACGAGTGACTTGGTCGACAAAAATTCCTTTCCCTCACTGCCTGAAGAAAAAACCCACATTTGAGGAGCTTGAGTGAAGACCCCCCCAATATAATAGCTTTTAAGCGGCGACGAATCCCAACAAGGAATCGTGTGTCAAATCGACAACAATACCAAAGTTCGTCTTGATGGCTCAGTTGGTTAGAGCGCTGGTCTCATATTCACTATGATCCGGCTAAACGCTGGGGCTATCCAGAGGTCGGGAGTTCGAGCCTCCCTCAGGACAGACACAATCTCTTTTGCTTATTGAATCTCTGGTGACCGAAGACTTGAGTCAGATCTTTCATGGATTTTTTTTTACCCTGGACATCTGCTGAAGTTTCATTTTAGAATTTGGTGTGTGCTGCTAGGGTGCACCGAGTTCGGTGCGGACCACCCCAGTCAGTCAGTCAGTGACAGAAACCTAGCTGGGTTAGGGGTATTCATTTTTCATCGCTGTCAGATCTACCCGTGAGACTTGGACTTGAGAGGAAGAAAAAAGGCAACAAAAAAAAAAGCATAAGGCAGCAGCAGGTCGACTACAATGTCACTTAAAAAGAGCATGAGAGAGATCTTTGTTGTTTGTCACAACAATCAGATAAACCTAGCATACAGCTAGGACTCTATGTTTTATTTTTCAAGCTGCTCAATAGCTTTAATATGCATGTACAACTCCATCGATCATACGCCCAAACTCCGCGAATCTTGCCCAGGGTATTACAGTTTTTCTTTTGAATGCGCACACAATGCTTCCTCTTCATCTTCCTTTCTCCCTCACCACGTGCCAGAGACCGGCAGATCCCTTGAGCTCAGGCCAACCAGGAACGTATACTGCCCCTTTATGGGCATGGCCCAGTTCTGGGCCTTGACGTCCCAGTAGCTCAGATCGCGTCTCGTCAGATTGAACGTTACCGACTGCGTCTCCCCCTTCTCGAGGGCGAACTTGTGGAAACCGCGCAGAACCTTGACCGGGAAGTCGGTGGTCGACGACTCAGGGTAGCGCAGGTAGAGCTGAGGGACCACCTTGCCCGCTGTGCGGCCCGTGTTCTTGACATCTACAGATACTTCAACGTAGGTCTCCCATAGATCGGGGTTGCCGCCCTCGTCCCCGCCCGCACCTGAGAGGGGCTGCTGGATGTCGTAGCCTTCAGGGTAAGGATAGGGGTGAGAGACGATGTCATCGATGGTGTCGAGGTATGGATACACAAACTTCTCCAGCTTTCTGAACCCTTCGGGGAAGAGGGCCTCTTCTTCGTTCGGGATGCTGCGGTCGTACTCAGGGGGGACGGCGAAGTCCTTTGGTCTCGGGGCAGGGAACTCGCTCTTGGGTTTCACCTCCCTGACGGTGCAGTTGTCCAGGTCGAAGCTGGTGTAGCTCAGCCCGAATCCGAACTCGAACCTGGGCGCGATGCCATACTTGTCGAAATACCGGTAGTCTGTGTATAGACCCTCGGAGAAATCTTGCTGAGGTACCACGCCGTTCGGGAGATACATGATCTTGGCCCCTGGGCCGTAATCCTCCAGAGACCGTCCGATAGTCCAGGGTAGCTTTCCGCTGGGACTCTCATCCCCGAAGATGATGTCGGCAAGCGCGTTACCGCTCTCCTGACCGGGCAGGTTGGCTAGAAGCACGGCTTTGACGCTGGGTAGGTCTATCCATTTCTCCATGATGACGGGGCCAACGGTATGGATGACCACAAGAACCTCGCCATCGCCACCATGACACCCTTCGGCGACCTTCACGATCAAATCGTCCCCGCCCTTTTGCAGATTCAGATCGGGCCGGTCGCCCATGACGTTTTCCCACGCCTTGAAGCCTTCACCAGCATCCGCGTTAGCGAAGACGATACAGACCTGGGCGCCGGTCAAGCTTTCCTGAGAAGGCGCTGCATTTGTCAGATAGGAAGACACGTTAACCCATTCGCTGTCGAAACCTTCCGTCAAAGCCTCGACGGGGGTGACGAGATAGGGGAATTCGACAGCGCCGGATCCCCAGCCTGAAGCTAAGGTGCCTTGGTTACAGCCGCGGTCCTTGCAGTAATTAGGACCCTCGCCCGGTCCGGCGTCCTCGCCGAAGATGGCAATCTGTACCTTACCCTCGTGGCGTTTTGGTAGGGTGTAACCACTGCGGTTTATGGGAAGGAGGGCGTTGTTCTTGAGGAGAACCGTGCCCTCGGCCGCGATCTCTCTCGCTACCTTGGAGTGGTTACCCATCACGTTGACAAACTCGTTGACCTTGATCTTGTCCTGGGGACTCGGGCTACCGGGAGCAAAGACGCCGTACTCATCGTCGGTCCACGAAGAGAAATTCGGCCCTTGCCACTCGGCGCCGTCTTGACCCATCTGATACCACGCCGCTACGATGCGGGTGACCATGTCGTTCAGCCGGTCGAGCGGCACGGAACCGTTCAGGATGGACCGGGTGAGTTCGGATCCCCACAGGCTCTTACCGTCGGCCCATCCGAGACCGTCTCCCGGCATCGTCATATCCAGACCGGCCAAGGCGGTCGAGACACCGCTGCGCTGCGCTAGCCAATCGCTCATGACAAACCCCTGGAAGCCCATCTCGTCCCGCAGGAGACCATTTAGCAGCTTGGAGTTGCCACAGGCGTACGAGTTGTTGATCTGGTTATACGAGCACATGACGCTGACGACACCGGCCTTGACCGAGTTGCCAAAGGGCCACATGTACAGCTCGTGCATGGTCCTGTCGTCGATGTTGCTCGAGATGGCGTTGGGCAAGCCCCACTCCCACGGCTGTCGGAAGTGCTCCTGTTCGTTGGCCACCATGTGCTTGATCGTCGCCATGACGCCCTCGTCTTGAATGCCTTTGATGGACTCGGCGGCAGCGATGCCCTGAAGGTAGGGGTCCGCTCCGAATCCTTCCCAGTTGCGCCCACCAGCGGGCATACGGCCGAGCGGACCGATGCAGGGGCCGAGTATGGCGTGGATCCCTTTCTTCTTAGCTTCGACGGCGTGCGCGTTGCCCCATTGATACATCAAATCCTTGTTCCACGTCGCCCCAACGGTGACGCCAGCAGGAAACGCGGTCGCGTTGTCGGCGAACCGTATGCCTAGAGGCCCGTCCTGGAGGGCCAGGGACGGGAAGCCGACATGTACGGCAGGACCCGTATTACCGACGGCCGGACCCATGCTCCAGCCGGTGCCGGTAGTGATATTTACCTTTTCGGGTAGCGTCATCTTGGTCACCATCTCGCTCGCCTTGAGGTAGCTCTGGGCCCAGGCTTTGGCGGTGCCGCCCTTGGGTGTCGGGTACCAAGGGGGCGACTGGCCGTAGGGAGGCTCCTGCTTGTACTTGTTGAAGGCGAAGAAGCCTCCGGCACCGAGGGCGATCCAAATCAGGGCGAATATGCCCAAGCAACCGATGATCCATCTTGTAGAACGGCCAGCGAAACAGTTACAGGGTCTTCGGAGCCAGCGACCTCGAGGTTGCGTCTGATATGCGGCGGTAGGCTTATGGGAGGTAAGGGGATCGGACTGGAGGAATTCGGTAGCGTCGAGGTCAGAGTCGAGGTCGGAAGAATGGCGAGCATCGTATGAGGAGGGAAAACGGTCCTTCTCGGGACTGAGCAGCCCCTCCTTGCTCGGGTCGTGCATGGTGCGATGAGCTACTCGGTCGTCGGGGGAATTATGTGAGACAGGTGTATGTGTGTCTATCGTTGGCTCCCTACAAGAGTTGAATGAGACATGTGTGTCTGTCCAAGTAGAAGTAAGTACTTAGTCAGTAAATATGTCCAATAAGAGCGGAATGGTATGGCAGGGGAGACAAACGGATGTAGATACGAAGCAGATGCGGGAAACAACAGACTTATTAGGATGATCAAGGAGTAGCTATGATCCAAAGTGAATAATTAAGAAGCAAGAAACACGCAGCAAGCAGAAAGCAGGAGAAAAATAAAAGTAGTCAATTGATGGATGTTTATGTTTCCAATGTACAGAGAAGGACGGCTCGTCTCTCGAAACACTGGATGGAAACAGAGAACAGTGAGAATAGAGAGCACAAACAATCGCCTCCGACATTGGAGCGGTTTTGAAACCTGGAGATCCTGCTTGGCCTTTGCATTGACCCCGCGGTCCTTCAAAAGTACCTACTTAAGTACATATACCGACCTAGCTAGGGGTCCATCCACAGCCACTCAGCGAGACAGGAAAGAATATATGACAGTAAGTACATCATAGTGATACTATTGTACAGCTACGTGCGCATAATACCTAACTTATAAGATCTTGCAACTTGGGATGAGATGGTAAAGTACGTGATCCCCCCGCCGGACCTGGAAGAGGTACCTGGCTACTACTCCAGGTACCTATCCATGGATGTAAGCTGGAGCTGATGGTGGGCCCCTACTATGTACAGCGGGAACTAACCTAATCTTTAGCGGTATCCCTGGATGCCAGGGGTTAAGCGACACTGCAGGCGATTGGGTTTCTTGCACCAATAAAAGACGTACAAGTCAAGTACTGTAGAGACGAGATCCCAGTATATGTATTAGAAGGATGTTTTCATGTCAGGACAAGTCATCTAAAGTTACATCTTCAAAGGAAAGCAATATGATGCTATAGCATGGTTTTGGTAGTTGCTATGTCACTGCAGTCTGCGAGTGCGTTCAACGGCCCTGGCTCCTTGGGCCGAGAACACCCAGCCCAAGCTCCCGGTGCCGAATCCACATTTGTTCGCCATGGGTCTCTCGATAGAGGAAATCAAGGTATATAGGACAATCAAAATATAAAAATTCATCAAGGTCGGATGGTGTAGTTGGTTATCACGTCAGTCTAACACACTGAAGGTCCCCAGTTCAAACCTGGGTTCGATCACGATTTTTGCCCATGGCACATGGGCCTGCCCCAGTGCCTTTTTTTCTTTTCTTTTTTTTCCTTTTTTTCGCCATTGACTACCCCCTCCCTTTACGCAGCGACCCTCTCAGCGTCCATGGATGGTGGTCCATAGATATCTGAGTTCACATCTACGTGGGTATGAAGTATGATATTAACATGGCTTCGGAGCTTTGATGGTCAAAGATGTGCAGGATAAAAGACAGCATCTTGGGATTCAGTGCCTACACCTCGCATGCTACTCTCTGATTGTCTTCTCTTCGAGCATATTTACTTCGACTTTTTATATCTACGGAGCAATAGCTGTGGTCTCACAGTACGCAGTCAGTTGGATGTGTTTCGATCCCAAGACTTACCTAGGATGCTCAAGATGGGAGCTCCTCAGACAAGCAGTTCACCAACTGCTAACCATCTACCTCGTGGCCTAGCTGGACCATCTACCTCGTGGCCTAGCTGGACAAACCTGACTGGTCAATGGCAAGATATATATCTCTTATGGCGGCGGCTGGAAAGAGAAGAAAACTTCTCAGGTCAACAACATAGGGAAAATGCAATGCCTACCCCTTTAATCATACGGACCAGTATTTCGCACAGCTGCAGGGGGACGTTCTGCTCGGTGTGCTCTACTCTTTTTTCTACAACTCTACACGGTACGTTGCCCTGAGAAGAAGAGAGAACTAAGAATAGACAGGAGAAGAAGAAGACTTGGGGAAAAAAAAAAGAAAAAAAAGACGGGTACTATTATTCATCGCGTCGGAGGTTCCACAGCTCTCTATGTCCGGGTCGATCACATCAACACTGCCTTCGATGATGCCATAGCCATCTCGTTCCTGTCGTTGGCCGCCGCGCCGCACCCTCCAGTTCAAACCGGCATAGCTCCACTGATAAACCCATGCTCGCCCGGGTCTTGGGGATGGGCTTCTTTTTTTTTTTTTTGGACCTTAAAGTAACGGCTTTTTTCTGTCGTCGTCGTCGTAATTCTTTCGACCTCCGCCCCCCCCCCCCCCCCCCCCCCCCCCCCCTCTCCAGCGGACATGCCTGGCCCTGAATGCCTCTACATACATAGCATACTTTGACGGATACCAAACCGGTGGGGGGGAGTTTTGGTTAGAGATAGGTAAAAGAATATTCTGATTAAGCGGGTTTTATCTCTCTTAGTATCTCTCTTAGCTGTGAAGTCCGTTGTGTGCCTAGTTACCTACCTAGGTAGTTATACCTATGCAGAGATTGTTGGATGGCGTGCTTGATCTGTACTTGATGATTCTTCTTCTTCTCGCGCGTTGGCCCTCTTATAATAACCCACCAGTCTCCCTACCGTAGTAGAATCATCATGCCAAGCTTCTCCATGGTCTGACTGAGGTTGTCTCTTTCTATTCCCCTCCTCTCTCTCTTCTCCTCCTTCACTCATATCCTCTTCCTTCACTCTCTTTTTTCTTCCCGGTGAAACGAACATATTGCTGTGGCAAGATGGCATACAGTGAGCCTACTGGCAAGCGGGAAACGGTCGTTGTCCATCCCGGCAACACGTCCTCCTCAGAAGATGTCTCTGCAGCCTCGGCACGGGATCTGGATGAGAACTACCAGCTCTTTAAAGAGACCCAGGGACTCGAGGTCACTGAGCAGGAGGCCAAGCGAGTCCTGCGGAAAATCGATATGCGTGTCGTCCCGATCCTCTTCATGACTTACATGCTTCAGTACCTGGACAAGAACTCCATCAACTTTGCCAATACCTATGGGCTGCAGGAGGGGACAAACCTCACCGGACAGGACTATTCCTGGCTCGGTATGTCTGCGCGCGCCCTAGTTCCCCCGGTGAATTCCTGCTGACCTAGGGGGAAACAGGCTCCATCTTCTACTTTGGATATATGATCTCTCAGCTGCCTTCGGCCTATTTCCTGCAGAGACTCCCCATTGGTCAATTTGTCTCTTACACGACCATCGCCTGGGGAATCATCCTTATCACTGTAATTCTTTCACCCTTCCCACCTGACACGAGGCCTACATGTATGACGGGTGTTGTCTGACCTCTCGACAGACGCCCGCCTGCACGTCCTTCGCAGGGATTGCTACCAATCGGTTCCTGCTAGGCTTCACCGAGGCCACGGTGAACCCGGCTTTCGTGACTATCATGTCCATATGGTATACGTCGGCGGAACAGCCCCTGCGTCTCGAGGCATACTATTGCACCAACGGCATTGCTACCATGTTTGGTGGTCTGATCGGCTACGCCGTTGGGCACATCACCACTGGTCTGGCCCGTTGGATGTACGTCTTCATCATTTTCGGCGCTTGCAGTCTGGCCCATGGCGTCGTCAGCTTGATCTTCCTGCCGGACGTGCCTGCGACTGCGCGTTTCCTGACGGAACGGGAGCGTAGTATCGCTATCGACCGAGTGAGTTGTGCCCCCTCCGGCGAACGCTGCCGAGTCAACTTTGCACTTACCAGTCCTCCAGGTTTCCCGGAACCGGCAAGGCGTCAAAAACTCCCACTTCAAAAAGAACCAGGCCATACAATGCCTCAAGGATCCCAAGACTTGGATCCTCTTCATCATGGCTGTCGGAGCGCAGGTGCCCAACTCGGCCATCACCAGCTTCGCCAGTGCGATCATCAAGAGTTTTGGTTTTGATGCCCTGGGAACACAATATAGTACGTGCCACGGCCCCTTTTATAGTTTGACACGACAATAACGTTATCCATCTTAATATGAGAGGCCGGCATCGTGCTAACATGTATTTCCGCAGTGCAAATCCCCGGTGGTGCAGTCCGTAAGTGAGCCCCTTGCTAAGGCCGTCCGAGTCTCACACTGGAGAATCCTCGCTGACACTCCCGGTGCAGAGTTTCTTGCGCTCATCTTTGGTGGATGGGTCTGTAGTAAATGGCCCAAGGGGTCCAGATGTCCGACCATGATCGTCGCCAACTTGATCTGTATCATTGGCTCGGCTCTTCTGGTCAAGCTCCCGGACGACAATAAGGTAAGCAGAGTTACCCCCCCTTCATCGCGGACCTGTTCTGACGTGTTTCAGTGGGGTCGTCTCGTAGCCCTCTGGCTATGCTACTTTCAGGGTCTCGGCTTCAGCATGTCCCTGACCATGATATCGTCCAACATCGCCGGCTCGACCAAGAAGCAGATGACGGCAGGCATACTATTCACGGGATACTGTGTCGGCAATATCATCGGCCCTCAGACATTCAGGGACGAAGAAGCACGTAGGTTATTCCTGGCGACACTCCCACAAAATTGTTCTAACATGTGGCCTCCTCGCAGCATACTACCACAGCGCCTATATCGCTATGCTGGTCGGGTACACGGTGAAATTGGTCATGATCATCGTGTTGTACATATATATGTTTGTCGCGAACAAGAGGCGTGACGCAGCCGGTCCTACCGACGAGAAGGCCGCGGTAGAAGCTGGAATGCATGATCAGACGGAGCTGGATAATCAGGGCTTTAGATACTCGCTGTAGAGTTCGACTAGAGACTTGTCATGTGCAGGTAGATGAGGAGACGAGTGAAAGTGTCTAGAAGCACAGTCAGTCAGCTGGTGGCAACTACGAGCTAAAGCAGTAATGGGCACCATCGAAGCTCGGATCGGGTCGAGGGTGTCTAGTCCGAGGAAAAGATCGCTCGTGTATCGCTATATGGGGATATCTGATTCTGCCGGATACTTCTCTTTGACGCGTTCTATCTGTCTTCTGTAATGTTCCATCATACCGTCTCCATATACCTCTTGAGCTCCCAGTCTGTCACGGCCTCATCCCAGAGTCGGATCTCATGCTGTCTCGATCCGCCGTAGTGATCGACAAAGTCGTCACCAAACACCTCGCGGGCCAGGCTCCCCTTGCGCATAAATATGTCGGTAGCCTCCTTGAGGCTCTTGGCCAGACGGGCGCCGTTGCCCACGTCCTGCTCCTTGCCCAGGGGCGGGACGGGGATCTCGAGCTTCTTCTCGACGCCGCGCCACCCCAGCGCGAGGATGGCGGCCATGACGAAATGCGGGCTGGCGTCGGCGCCGGGCACGCGGACCTCGAAGCGCGTCGCACCGGGTTTGGAGGTCGGCGGCGCGATCAGTCGGATAGACGCGGCCCGATGTTCCAAGCCCCAGGACACGGTCACGGGGGCCCAGAAGTTCTCGACGAGGCGCTTGTAGCTGTTGACATTGGGGGCAAGCAGGGGCATAACATCAGGTAGGCCCTCGAGGAGACCGGCCAGGAAGTGTCTCCCCAGGTCGCTCAGATGCGCGAGGTCAGGGTACGGGGCATTGTCATCTTTCTTGTCGCGGACGAAGAGATTCTTTCCGTTGCTGTCGACGACCGAGACGTGGGTGTGACCGCTACATCCCGGCATACCGGCCTTTGGCTTCGCCATAAAGCACGGAGTGATACCGTACTTGCTGGCGACGGACTTGACGACGTACTTGAACAGGTTGCCGCGGTCCGCCATCTCAGATATCTGACCGAATTCGAGGGCCGCCTCGTAGACGCCGGGACCGCTCTCGGTGTGCCAGCCTTCGAGGTTGCACTTGAAGTCTATGCACGAGTTGAATACGTCGTAGTAGTAGTCCTTATTGAGAGTGGGCCGCGTGATGCTATAGCCGAACATGCCCTCGGTGAGAGGAGGGAAGTTGTGTGGGGGGTTGTCGCGCATGTAAGCGGCGGGGGACGGGGTGGTGTCGGACGCGGGCGCCTTGAATTGGAAGAACTCGAACTCGGCTACATGAGGATCGGAGTGTTAGTAATTATGTGACAGAGGAAAAGCATGCATGACAGGAAGTCTTAAGGTCAGCCGTACCTCCGGCCATGGCGTCGTAGCCGCCTTTCCTCAGCTTGTCAACCTGCGTCTTCAGAAGATTGCGTGGACATGCGCAGACGGGTTCCATGTTGGCGGGCTCGAAGAAGCTCACGAGGAAGAAGGGAACGTTGTCCTCCCAGGGGAGGCGCCTGAAGCTGCTCAGATCCGGTACGGCGATGAGGTCGCGGTAGCC